GTGCAAAAACATCGGAAGTTCGTCCAAGAAGAAAATTGCCATGATGTCCCTAGCCGGCGCGTCGATGATGAAGACCGGGGTAGTAGGGTATGGCAACTTAGTACCGCCGTATTACATGAAATCAAGCGGGAGAGTGGTGTTGGGCGGTATGAAACTGGGGATGGTTGCGCCTCTTCCACCCCCAGAGATGCAGGGTCAGGCGGGAGGAGGGCGTTCAAACTACTTGCGGGATCGAAATCGAGCAGAGAGGAAGAGGAATCGTTGGGTACCGTACAACATTGCGACGAAAGGAGGAGCCGTGGGGAGTCGCTCAGGAAACGGCGGCGTTGGGGTGATTAGTTACGGAGGTCCAGGAGCACCCGGAGGGAGGCCGCCTGTCTTCGTTGTTCCCTCGGCGGCGATGGAGGTAGCGCACTTGATGGCCGCCCGAGGGCAGAAGTTGCCTGGAGGGGTCGCAGGTGCGAAGGGCGAATCCGTCACGGCAAGCTCCTCCGCAGGTGCAGCCGGAGGAGCGTTGCCCAAGAGCAGGGTCACGTCCGCGAGTGGTCGCTGGCTGAAAAGAGGGAGGACGGGTAACCGGTTCAAAGGTGGAAATCCAGCATCAGCGAGCAAGAACGGTCATGTAGGCGCGGCAGGAGGCTTGGGAGAAGAGGATGACTGCGTTCCTCGCTTGCGCGAACTCCGGAAAAGGAACAGAGTCAATATGCGCAAACAAATACCGAAGTGGTTGAAACGCCAATCTCTGAAATCGGTTCCTCATGCTCCGAGGAACACGACATCGTTCATTATGAGGGCGAACAAGTTAGGAATTTATGCGCCTCTTACCTCGCCGCGCACGCCGGCGTTCATCCGCACGCCCATTTTCTCTCCCGCTCCATGGCCCACCGATTCTCCCGGGGATAAGATGCTTGTGGAGCAAGCGAAGAAGTTCAAAGTTGATCCTTACGGTTCCATGAACGGGTGTATACGTGTCCGCGATCCTTCTGTGCCCGAGTTGGGGGCTGTGGGGTCGGGGGAAAATCGAGGAGGGGAGGAGCTTGTTCTTCGTGACTCTTCGGACGAGGCCAGTAGTTCCAGTGAAGCCGAAGATGGTCAGCCGAGCGTTGCGGAGCCGGATTCTGCGGAGTTGTTCGAGCAGCGTATGGATCATGATCTCAGGAGGTTCGAGATGACTTTCGCAGGGGAAGCAGCGGGGAAGGACCTCGAAGAAAGGATGTTACGGACGCGAATGGAGGAGCAGGAGGGGCGCATTGCTGATCTGGAGGAAGAAAATATGACTCTGAAAGAGGTGGGTGGTCACCGTTTCTGAGGGTAGTTTGTTCTTTATAACATGGTGGACAGGTCTTTGTCTGTTATGTGGTCGGCTGTTCCCATGACATCTCTCGCCTATTCGAGATGGTTCTCGCTCAGGGGTGAAATGATACTCTGCTCTTTTTTTTTTCCTTCCTTACTCGAGCTCTAGTCGTGGTAATGACGAAGAAAAGTGAGGTGGCGGTGCATTTATGTATATATAATGCATGTAAGTGCGAGTCTCAGGTCACATGTCCGATGTGCGAGGGTCGTTGGACGGTGAAAGAATCTTTGACAGTGGCTGCTTTGAGTGCTGAATCGGTATGTGCGAGCAGGTTTTTGATTAGAGCGGGGGTCAGGATGTTCGTTTTGTTTGGTTTTGTTTGTCAGGGGATGTTTTCTATTCTGTGATGTACTGTTGACCGATTTTGAGGGTGATAATCATGGCGTGCTGTGACTCCGTGTTTGTTATGGGGCGTTTTGTAGTCTGTGCTGTCGGCTCCTTGTTGCATTTCTTTGAATTGGTTTCTCTCTTCCACCCAAAGAAAGCACGCTGAGGGGTTGGAAGGGGACTGAAGTTCCGTTGTGCTACTCCGTTCTTTTCCTGACGTGGAATTGGCTTTTGTTCATGGCCTATTGTTGTCTGTGGCAGAAATTGTATCTGATTGAGCAAGAGATGCAGGAGCTGCGGAAACGATGCACGGTGGTGGTGTCCGAAGATGTTTTGACAGCTGAGTCGGGTGAGAGCGGTGATGAGGCCTCCGCTTCCGCTCTGGCTTGTCACAAGCGGGTATGAGAGGCAATGGTTCGTAGCCTCAGACAGGCAGAAGGTCGGCGGATTGCGGCCGTCTGAGGCAAATGGTGGCCTGCCGTCTCCTACTTGTTTGTCTTCTGGGAGCTGATTCGTTCTTCGTCGGCTGCGTGACGCTTATTCTGACTGAGAGGGGGTAGCTAGACTGGGGCGAAGGCGGGTTGCGGCATGTGTCGGTGGTGGCAGAGCGAAGAAAGACGTGTTACCGATGATTCAATAAGCAGCGGAAGTGTAAAGGCCCGAGCTATCTCAGGAGGGAAGCGGGTTGGCGGGAAAACGGATGTCTGTTGGTGTTTCTGGGTGTTCTCCGACTGTTTGTCCGCGTCTGTCGTCGTTTCGCAACGGTGGAGAAGAGCTCTGGCAGCCTGTCCTCTGTCGTTTGTCGGAGAATGTATGTCAAGATCGTTGGTTATTGAAACGGTGAGCAGAGCTCTGCCAGCTTGTGTCTGTCGCTTGTCGGAGAATGCATGACAAGATCGTTGTTCATGGACAATTGGTATTCGTGTGCGTGGAAGGCTCCTTGAGCTGATAGATGAAAGTGTCTATCGACTGCCTGCTCTTTTGGGTATTTGCTTGTTATCATTGTTGTGTTTAAGAGCGCAGTACGGGAAATTCGTGCACTCGTGATTATTGAATATGAATGACTCGTAACCAATTGATGAGATGTATTAGGATCTTTCCGGCCTTGGTCGGTCGAACGGGCTTCCATTGTTTCTGTGTCGTTTCCTTCGGTGGTGTCGTTCTCTGTGTCATCGTTGTCTCTGAGCTGTGGCGGTTCGTTTGCGCGCATTTACGTTCTGTATACTGCGTTTGCTCGTTATGGATATGGCGAGCGTTGACACGCTATGTATATCGATATGCTTTCGTCTGTACGCTCATCGTTAGTCGCCGTCCGGGTTTGTGGTGTCATAATAATTATTCTGACGCGTTGTGATGTTGCGTTGTGATTACCTTTCCTGGTTGTCGTTGTTGGTCTGTTGTCCGCTTGCTAACCGGTCCTATCTTCTCTGGCGATTTATGATGGCGATGTGCATCGTGATTGTTGTCGCTGTGGTGGTCGTTACCGTCTCTGGTTTCGTCGTCATTCGGTCGATAGCATGGGTGTAGTGACTGTCATGTCCCGCTTGTTTTGTCCGCTCGCAAACCAGAGGAATAATGTATATTTCTGGATGCCGACGTTATTGTCAGGTTGGAAATTAGGTGGTGTCTGGCCTGTCGTCATGTGTCGGATTTGTCTCAGTTTTGGGCGTATATTGATGATTGCATATTTTCTTCATTTGGTTGTAGGTAGGCATGCTGGTCGGAGTAGATGTGGCTAATGTTGTGTCGTGTCCGAAGCACATTCGAGGCGCTGAATTGTGGAAGTTGTTGACTTGGCGTGCGTCTTTTCGTTCGTTTCCAGCGCATTTATCGGATAACGAGGTTGGCATTGGACGCGGTTGAAGGCGATATGCATCAGTGCGTTGCAGGTACGACAGGAGGAATCGCGGCGATCGAGTCGCGAATGACGAACGAGTGCGGCAGCGACGGTGGTGACGACGAAGGCGTGTAATGTGGCGATGGGTGCTGTTGCGAGCGAGAGGATGCACACATTCAGGCCATGCGATGAAACGTTTGCCTTTGACGCCTCTGGTTTATCGTCGGGGTGGTGAGACCGTTGTATATCTCTCTTGCTGAACTATCCGACACTTTGATTGTGTGAAGGGTTGTGTTACGGTTTGTACATAATGGTCGCGGTACTCGGTCAGTCGGAAAGTTTGTCTCGTGAAGACGATGTGTGAATGATCAACGGGACATACGTACAGTTGCAGCAGTCAGGTATAGTGGGGACTCCTGTTGTCCTGTCCTCCTCCTTACATTTTTTTCCCTGACATATTTTGGGCTCCTCGTCCCGCGAGCCAGGTGAGACCACACAATTTCGTTCGTCGCTGTTGTTTGACAAAACGAAGCTAGGGGCGTATCAATGAACTTAGGGTTACGACCGTCGTTCTTGACGTCGTACATGTCGGTTCACGGAAACGGAGGCAGGACACAGACAACAGTAGGCGGCTCCACGGAGATGGTGGTAGAGTAGGTGGAGGGGATTCCCGCCCCTCTTTACCGAGTTTGAGCGGCCTTTTAAGTAGGACACACAGCAAAAGGAGGTAGTAGCTGCAGGAATCGGGGAGTGCGAAGGGTGGGAGGAAGGTGGTGTGGGTTGCGGGGTAACGGAAGTTTTGTGAGGCAGGGAGTTCGGGAAAGGGGGCCTGGACTGGGTTTGTCGAGTTTCTAGGGTTGGGGGAGACGTGGGGTATTCTTGGTTCGCGTATGTAGACGCCGAAGATGAGAAGAGAAAAGGCAGGCAGGCAATGGAGTGATTTCGTGACGTGACAATTTGCCCGCGAATTTCATGTGGAAAAATGTTTGGAAAACACGGATGTTTGGGGTGGTGGCGTGGTCACTTCAGGTATAGAACCGTGAATGAGAGACCGAGAGGCACGGAGAGTAGAAAGATTATACGCTGCCCTGTCCTCTGGGCGTCTCGAGCACTCGGCGTGCCGGGAGGAACAAAGGAGTTACTTATGGCCGGGGTCTCGTTTCGTTGTCTTCCTGGTATAATTTGACCTGCGTACGGGATCACGGTTGAGCGTTAATGTTCGATGCAGGACGTGCCCACGGGAAAGGCCACTTGAGGATCTGGCGCGCATCGAAATGTCGCGTCTGATTGCCGCGTTGGCAACCGTCTTTTAACGGTGTTTGGTAGAGCGTCTATCCACCTCCAAAAATGTGCGGCGGAGACCGCAGACTTGGTGTGTCCTGTCCGGTATGTCAACAGCCCAACTCTTGCAGAAATCTCGTCTCGTTGCTATGATGGTCGGCTTCTTCGTTTAGAACTTCCCATCTGAACTGTTTCTGAAGGGCATTGTACTCAACTTTTTGTCGTTCTTGTTTCATGGTATATCTTGTACAGTAGTCGATGAATGTCCTCCGTTGGTGAAGCGAGTCTTGATTTACCTTAGGCGCCCGAAAGGGGGGTCTACGGACAGGTCAGTGTTTGTAAGTGGGATCGTTAGATTTCGAGTGGGTATGACGGGTCAGGTTTCGGACGCGGCGCCCTGAGGTAAAGCTTACGGACGTACGGGTCAATGTCGTGCCAGCGATTGTAAGTTTTAGCAATAATCAAGGATGTTACGCAATATTGATGCGATGTTGGTGTGAGGCATGCATGCCATGAGATGTGACGCAACTGTTTGTGTTGCTTGTTCGCTTCTCGAGCAAATGTGGTATATGGGAACGTTTGCACGTCACGACTGTTAACGACCCTTTCTCTCTTCGACTTAATGTTTGCTAGCCGCTTTCTCTTACCAGTTCGATCGCGACTTTTGCGGGATGGATGCTCGTCCTTCTGCTGCAATGCAGGTGGGAATGTGGCCCCTGTTCTCTGTTGGAGTCGTCAGAAGCGTCATTGTGAATGAAGGTCTGTGGTCTGTTCCATTCATTAGTAGACTCGTCGACTCTGCCAGGTCGCCATTGTGGACGTGTCAAGGGTTTGTCAGATTGTGCCGCAGTCGTTCGTCGTTTAAACTCGCGCAATTGCCCTGACGATGTTTTTTTTAGCATCTGCTCTTAACTACCCTTTCCTACCGTACTCTTCCTTCGTTATGCGCATCTTGGTGGTGGGAACTACGCTGCGTATCAGTGCGTGCGATTATGACCCGTGAATCAACTGTGGTGAATATTCCCTCTTACGCGGTCTTGGTAGAATGTTTGTGGTGCGTAATAATGTGCATATGACGCGTGAATCACCTGTGACGAGTATTCACGCTACGCGGTCTCGTTGGAGTAGACCCTTTGACTTCGTATATTTTGTATCTCGCAAGGGTTATCGTTGATTGGTGTTCACGTCCTACGGGCAAGATTAGTCTCTCGGCATTGCAGAACGTAGGGCAGCCTCACTGTCCCCTTGCTCTCTGTCTACCCTTTGTTTCATCGTGCAGAGGATGAGTCAAATGAAAATTTTCGCGATTGAGTGTACCCGAACGGGTTATCCTCGCAGTGTACCCGAACGGGTGATCCTCGCTCGTATTTGCCTAAGGTTGCGGGTGACAGACATGATCCCAATCAAATCAGTCTCTGATTGAAAATTTAAACTGATTGGGATCGTTGAGTACCTCAAAGAACGCAAATGGGTCGCTTCCGAATGAGTTATGTCAATGCCACGGTATACGGGAGCTGTGCCGAAGCGGCGGGTTGGTTGCCAGCACCATTGTTGAGAGTTCCACAGATCTCGTTGGCTGACACCGCCATCGGCGTGAATCTCAAACCGAGTGGTGGTCGAGATGAACGTGTGGCAGTCAGGGGAATGGTTGTCAACCAATCAGTCGTGAAGCCGCAGCTCAGCTGGTGTCTGTGTACGTTGGTGTTAGTGTTGCTGAGAGATGCGGAAGAGACCCATTCTTGTGTGTTTTCGTTAATCTTGCCGAGTGATGCGAAAGAGACCCAATATTGTCCCTTGCTTGCGGGATGTCTTACGTGTGTTGGAGACGCGGCTGGCTCCCATCCTGTATCTGTGGTGGTGATCAAGTTAAGAGTGCGGTGATGTTCGACTGCATTCCACTTTGAATGGCGAGAATTGAAAGTTTTGGTTAGGTCTTACTGTTGTCTGCCACTCGTGTGCAATGAGCTGGGATAATGTGCATGGCTCCTTGTCTTTATGACGAACTCATTGTGCCACACGTCCACCGTATGGTTACGCGTATGAAACAGTTCTCGCCTGTGGACGAAGGAAGCACTGCTGTGGATGTGGACGGGATTTCCTGTGCACGGAGACTCGCGCTTTGGCAGTTGCAAGGTAATCTTTGCTCTCTGCTGATCAGCACGTTCTCGGATAGAGGAGAAGGGAACGGGGAACGGATTCGGGCTTTTTTTCTCCGTGGGAGGGGAACGGAGCATATTTCGGCGCAAGTAATGCTCGCTTTGTACATGTTGATGTTGCTTGCTGGTCAGTTCATTCCTGCATTTGCATGTTGTGACCGGGGTTGTCCCGACTTCTGCCGACATTCTTTGTAGCATTTCTCAGTCCTTTCCTATCTCATGTGATTTGATGGGTTGGCCTCTTTCTTCGTGCGAGGCCTGGCAAGTGGATATTGTCGGAGTGTTACGTATCAATGCCTGTTGCAACAGAATGGGTTTTTATGGGACGATCGGGTGTTCCTTGTGTGCACGAGAACAGGTCATACTGGAACGCGTGACGAGTGTCTTGTGAGGATGCCTGTTCGCTCTCAAAAGCCATGTGCAGAGTGAAACCCGTGTGTAGGTAGTTGAGTACATCGTTGTTTTCGTCAATTTCTCCAACATTGGCTTTCAGGGTGGGCAGTCGGTGGGATGTCTTTTGCGCGATCGATTTCCCCATCTTGATTTGGTTTGTCTCGATTTGTCTTCCCTGTTTCTCGGTTGTTTTTGTAATGTGAATGGTGGCTAATATGAAAACTTCTATGCTATGTTTCTCGGTGGTGTTTGTAATGTGAAGAGGGGGCGGGGAGGTAACTTTTGGAATGGGAATCGCGGTGTAACCTGCCTTAATATGTGCGATGTGAGGCGGAAAAAGGCAGTTAAATGTGAACGTACCAGACATGAAAGTCGTGTCCGACTGGTTCTAATCGTATGCCATGGAATGTAAATGTGAGAGCATTGTGCCAAATCTATCGTGCCAACGGATTATTGACACATTTGTGGGATGACGGTGGGTGTGTGGGAAAGTCTGTCCGTCCGGACGGTGAGTGGTTGCTGTTTGGCAGGCTCGTGGAACGTGTGGCCAGCTGTTATTTTATGCAGGGCGTGCGGTGTAGTGTACGAGTGGAAAATAATTCTATGATCATAAAGGAGTTTTATGGTTACTGGTTTCATGACTGTGTGGTGGGATGATCTTGGTGTCTCGTTGCTTGTTTTGCTATTCAAGCGGACTGCTGGACCCCGCGTCACTGATTGCTCTAGGCTGGAGGGAGAGAATGGGCGTGGAACCAGCCATGCAGTCTTGTGTTGGAACTAGCCATGCAGTCTCGTGGTGGAACCAGCCAAGCAATCTCGTTGTGGACCAGCCATGCAGTCTTCCCGGGGAATCCTCTTTCAGAAGGGCGATTTTATTGGAAGCCCCTGAAGATGGGTAGAGGGTGAGGCTACAGCCCTGAGGTGAAGAGGCTACAGAGTTGGGCTATCCTCTGGTGCCCTCTGAGCACCACATGTGACCAGTGGTAGACCTGCTAGGGAAGATGTAGTGATTGGGCGGGCGGGTGCGAGTTGTGAATTGCGTGGGGTTTGATTCTCATGTGGTGGATTACTTCGGGAATGTCCATAGATGCGTAGGGCTAGTATGTCTTGTACCAATTCTTGCATTGTCTTGTCTTTCTGGGACTGTTCACAGAACCCATGGTTGGGCTCTCTGAGAACGGTGTGTCTGGTTTGAGGACAAAATGGGCGTGTGTGTGTGTGTGTCCCTTGAGTGTGTCTTTGGCTTGCTTGTGATGTTTTTTTTCAGGTTTTAAGGTGTGTGTGTGTGTGTGCGTGTGTTTTTGTGTCCCTTCGAATACGGCTTTGACTTGCTTGTGACTTTTTTTCAGGTTTTATGGTGTGTGTGTGTGTGTACGTGTGTGTCCCTTTGAATGTGACTTTGACTTGCTTGTGATGTTTGTTTTCAGGTTTTTAGGGTCTGTTGATGAATTGTGTGTGTGTGCACGTGTCTGTCCCTTCAAATGTGTCCCAAGGACTTATGCACTTGGCGATGTTGCTTTGCTTGTGATGTTTGTTTTGGGTCTTAACTTTTCATTTGCATCAATTAAACGAGTTCTGTTTGTGTTGTTTGTAGATTTCTGCCTTCATGCGTTCCAACGAATTACTTACACAGTGATCGTCCATTTCAGGTTTGTTCTGTTACCAGGATGATTTGCCGAGTCCTTACGTCTCCTGCGAAGGCATGTGCGAGTGCAACTGGGGCACTCAATTGTATGTAAGTCCGCTTGTTTTGTATCTCTATGGTAGACGTTGTGTGGTGTGATACAGGTAGGGTTGTAGTCGAGTGTGCCACACCACCAGCACCACTACACTACCGTTGTGTAGCGCCACACCACCAGCACCAGTATGGGTACCCGTGTTGGGTGTGCCACACCACGAACACCACTACCGATCTCCACCATCCTTTGAAGGAATTGATTATTTCGAACAATTGGGGTAATAACAGCAGTTCGGAATGCTCTGTGGCAACTTCTGCTGCATCGGAACCTGAATCCACCTGCTGTTTTGACTAACAAGGTGGGGGATCAGCGTTTGGGCTTACGTGTCAACTGGCCGTTTGTGGTTTGCTGTTTTTGCGGAGTTGTGCATTTCCTGTTACTTCTTTTTGTTTCATATATTTATTTGACTGATAATTGTGACTGTCACACACTGAATTGTGCCAACGTACTTTTCATGATATGTTTATTTACTGAGTTGTGACTCCCAAACATCATATTGCAACCATTGGGAGAGATGGGAGTGTGCCAGTGACTGTTAGAAGTGTGGTAACAGCTGCTGTGCTTAGACACGGTTGATTGGCAACTTCCGAAAGGGACAGCAAGTGCAGAGTGTTTTTGAACCAAACTCCTGATGAGTTGGTGAATTTCCAATGAAACAGTATCACAGTAATTCCACAGTTGTTTATTTGTGGAGTTGTGTAGAGAAGGTAATAACACACACCCACACAGAGAGAGAGAGAGAGAGAGAGAGAGAGAGAGAGAGCGCTGCATTCTGTATGGGCGTTGGTGACTGTCATGCGGTCCAGAAACACATGCAAGTAATGTGCTGCTGTAACTACACACACATGCGCACACACACAAAAACACACACACACACACACAGATCCAATCTGTGTGGGCATTGGTTACTGACCAGTCTCCATTGATCGTGGTGGTAATCCCCTAGTGCACTCATGGTGACGGTTCCAAAGGGCAAGGGTATGTCATTCAATGCAAACTGCGACAGCAACCAGTCTCTACTTTGACCCCACCTTCAAAATTTTTTGCTTTTGTTGCCAGAAACGAGAATTGCGATCATCTACAGGTTACTTCCAGCTCACGCTTGTTACCTCCTTGGCCCCCCCCCCTCAGATTCTGAAATATCTTTTCGTCAACGGAAATGAGAATTGAAAGTTCACAATTCCATTACCCTCTCCTCGGGTCTGTTCTCTCTGCGGTCACAGTCACAGTGCAGCCTTTGACCTGTGACTGTGGCCGCAGCGAGAACAAGTTTACAATTCCATTACCCGCCCCTCGGGTCTGTTCTCTCTGCGGTCACATACCAAGCAAGAGAGGCGGTCATGTCTTCCAAGATAGAATGTCATCAATGAATCAGTATGTGAATGCATTTGCTTACACAGCACGCAGATCACACTGACGAAGATCATCAATGAACTCTGCTTCATCCCAATAAAGCATGAGGTTGGTAATTTATGTTCCGGCATTAGTGCCCATATGGATATCGACCACCTGATGGCCTCGCATGAGGATTAGAGACCTCGAACCGCAAATGTTGCTTTACTTCTAACACCGGGAGGGTGTCTGACCCATGTGAAGTACCCCCCTCACCAAAATGAAAACCTCCTGTGGTCATGTACATCTGTATTGGCCCTCTGCCCTTTGAGATACACTCCATTGCATAATCATGTGCTTCACGAACAGCATTCAAAACATCGTTCACAATCCTATTGTGTAGCAGGTTCGTGCATATAGGTGTAACGTCTGCTTGAGTTCCAAGATTACTTCCTCAGCACTTCGCACAATCCAGCAACATTGTCCACCACTTTCTCGATGAACTTCATTATCCTTACTGCGCAAGGACTTGGTCACACCCTGAAGAGCATAGCTAAGTGAGCGGGAGGCCATTGTTGTACTTGCAAAAGGCTTATGAGGGGGCTGTTGTGCAAGTCTGTAGCTGAAGGTTGGTGAGGTGTTGTGCAAGGTGCAGATCGCTAAAGGTTGTTTTATTGTGGGACTCCAAAAAATCGAATGAAGGGCAGGTGGAGACTTATGTGCTTCTAGTGCAAGGTAGAGATATGGCAGGGTGTCGGTACGTCCATAGCCCCAACGTTGGTTGAAAACTGCATGGCGCTTAAGAGTTGGTCACAATCTTTGATGCTTGATTGTAGGTGGAACTATCAAGATGTAAGTTATCCGTGGACGAACGTTTGCAGCAAATAGCCATACTATGTGATGTATTCTCGAGCAGTCCTATAACAAATTGCCATTGTAGTTGCCGAAGAGGTGTGTTGGCAGCACGCGAGTACCATCTGTGCAGCTAAGAGAAATTGTCACCAATCAGAGACTCGTTATTGTGTATTGAGCTCATGGTTGCTATAAATTTGGCAATATACAGACCAATATTCGATGCTTTCATCACATCCGTGGTGTCAACACTGAGACGGTACTTGGAGCCCTCAAAGAACAGATCCCATAAGCATGTACCTTGTGTAATGGTGTAGTCCACTGTGGCTGCATGACCATCAACAATGTCTACCCATTGTGGTAATACTTGTCGACAAGGACAATTGTCAGGGTCTGTAAGAGGAATATTGCTTGTTATGCCAACTGCCACTTCTGTAAAGTTACAGTACTGGACATGCATGGGTGGCACCACTTCTGTAAAGTTACAGTACTGGACATGCATGGGTGGCACCATCTTGCCAAGGAATACTCCTTGGCCAGGGCAGACTGAATGCAATTCAGCAACCTCTGGAAGCCAACGAACTCTCCATCGCTGTGTGGTGCGAACTCCGTAATTGTGTTGTGCGAGGGACCTGATGCATGTGCATGACCTGAATGAAATTTAGGAACTGAACCTTATCCCGTGCAGGACCGCAGTATGGCTGTCCTGAAAACTGCAGAGCTCAGATTGAGACATTTGTTTGCAACCATTGCAGCAAGGGGGAGCGCCAGGCAGGGGTGGCTCAAGCGAGGGCTCGAGATATAAATTGTCATTCTGAGTTCGCTGTTTGTGTAAGCATGCAATGCGTGGTCGAACGAACAGCGTGGAATGGACCTGGAGTACTCTCAATGGTGAAGGGTCTGTCTGCATGAAATTGTGTTGAGGGGCAAATTGTAGGAGGATGTGGACTACCTCTCGAACTAATCGACCTGTTCGAGCGATGACATCACCTCATAGGCGAACATCGTCCTTGTAGAAAGCCGCTGATGAAGCCCCAAGGGTATAAGATGGTCAAGCACCGTACCCAAATCCCTTAGTGAGGGAAGGACACACGTTTAAATGATTCCGGATCAATTGAACCATCAGCATTTAAGTAACGATGAAGGTCTATGCACTCCAAGAGCCAGACGATAAAATGAAATGGTGGTTGCCTAACCATGAAGTGATAGAGATAACACGGTCTGAGTGAGTTGTTTGAGATGAATAGCGGAAATTCCAATGCTGTTGCAGACGATAGTGAGTAGAGTATGTGGTTTGCCCAACATATATGCGATGGTATGTGAATAGTAGCATAAATAACCCAAAGGGCAACCTTCCATTCCTGGCTGAACGGGGCTCTGACCAACACCTCGCAATTCTAGATCAAATTGTTCGGCCCAGACTACAGCTGCTATGTAACGGAGTCGCTTTCTACACCTACACCCCGCATCATAGAGATTATCCTTCCAATGTGCAACCCAATCAACTTTCTTACATTGTCCTCCATACGAGTGTTGCGAGGACAAGCAAGGGGAATTGCCATGGAGAGGATCATCAGTAGAACGTGTGGTTCATGCTGCGCCACTAGCACGGGAGCACCCGTTCAAGTCCCTTTCCTAATTCTCACCTTATATCGTCCACAACATATGTATGTTATTTTTTAAAAATCAGGAAATCATCCTAAAAAAGTAGAAACACGGGGTGTAGTATAAGGGCAAAGCCCACGGTTCAGGGTTTCAGGCCCATCACTCAGCACGGGGAGGCCCCCGACATCACTTGCAGGTGGCACTGGCCACGTCTCCCAGGCCATGGCTCAGTGAGTGTGCTCTGGGCAACCACCCTAGACGCCGGGCACAGCAGGAGAGAGAGAGAGAGAGAGAGAGAGAGAGAGAGAGAGAGAGACAGTTTTTTTCCATTTATTGTTACGCGTGTGAGAGAGAGAAAGAAATAGAGAGAGAGGGAGGGTGGGGCCTACCAGAGAGAGTTTTGTTCCGTTCGTTGATACGAGAGAGAGAGAGAGAGAGAGAGAGAGACTGAATGGCAAAATCAAAATTTAGGTCAAATTGCATCCCCAATCTATTTTGCAGTTGGAATAATTTTTATTTTTTTTATTTAGCGTTTTTCCTGGAATGATCACAACAAAGTAGGAGTACTCCAATTTTCAGGTTTTTTCACTCTTCTTCTGAGCGTGAAAACTCACTGAATTTGGAGTACTTCATTAGTTGGCCCAGGCATGGCCGAGTGGCAGAAATGGAAAATGTGCGAGAAAGAGACAAAAAGTGAGAGAGAGAGAGAAAGAGTTTTGTTCCATTTATTGTTACGAGTGCGAGAGAGAGAGAGAGAGAGAGAGAGAGAGAGAGGATTTTGTTCCATTTATTGTTACGAGTGCAAGAGACAGACAGAAAGTGAGAGAGAAAGACAAGAGAGAGAGAGAGAGAGGAGGCTGAGTGGCAAGATTTAAATATAGGTCAACTTGCGGCCCTGATCTATTTCACAGTTGGAATGATTTTTATAAATTTATTTAGCTTTCTTCCCGGAAAGATCACAACAAAATCTACGAGTACTCCAATCTTCAGTTCTTTTCACGCATTCTTCTGAGCGTGAAAACTTCGCTAATTTGGAGTACTTTTTCAGTTGTCCCCACATGGCTGAGTGGGAAAAGTGGAAAATGTACCAAATCGGCGCGACGATTATTTCGCAGTGTAAATGATTTTTTAAACATGTTCTAATATTCTTCCTGGAAAGAACACGACCTCATCTATGGATTCTCAAAATTTCGGATTTCTCTCCAGATTCCTCCGAGCACAGAAAATCT